TGAATCAATTACATATTTAAACTAGTTATATGTATAAAGATATTATTTTAATTATATTTTAATTTATATTCTATTTAAAATTGTTTTGGGTCGGCTTAGATCCAAAGGCAGAGATACCCAATTACAAGAAGGCTCAATCCAAAGACACGTACGTTGAGTTATTGAAGATTGAGTGATCTCGAAGTCAAGAAGACAATACTCAATCTTTGTCATAAGATGATTGTTTGCTATCAGTTTTAATCAAAAGTCCTCTGCATTGCACATCTCATGATCTGGGGTGTTTCTAACTATCTTTCATATATAAAGTTCTACATGTGTTCAGATCTATGATTTCTATTCATTCTCACATTTAAACTATTTCTCATTAATTCACTGATTTAAGAATTAAAGTGCTCACATATCCACTCCACTCCACTCCATCTTAAACACACTCCGCCACAAGTGAACCCTATATCACTCTATCATTAAATATGTTCTTATTAAAGATTCTAGGAGACCTTATTAGTATCACAAATTTTATCTCATCGAACTGGTTAAGGACAAACATATATTTCTGAGCCTGGAGTTTTAAACTTAAAACAATCACACATGCTGAACAGTCAGAACTTTTCCATGTCAAAATCTACTAGTGGCTCAATAAAAAATTTCTATTTAATCACTTGTAAACAAAATGGAAGATAAAAGCATGGAGTAGTACAGTTGCAAAGATTTTTTAAACACATAATGATTACAAATATTTTGCAAAAATATAAAACCCTATTATAATTTCAAATTCATTAGGTGTTTTGTTTATCTTATTCTTTGTCCAATTCGTCGAAGGTATGTTTGATGTTGAAACTTAAAGGAAACAATTGTAGGAGATTGAGTCAAAATAATAAATAATATACTTAATACTTTACATTATTTTTAAAATTAAATATTATATAAATAATTACATTTTTATTAATATTTCTTTTTTATTAATATACTAATATCCTTTAGTAAATATATAACTTTCTATTCTTTTATTTTTTATCCACTTTCATTCAATCAAACAATTAGCTTAATATATATTAGTGCACAAAGGTGAGATGAAAGAAGAATATAAATATTAAATAACGGCTACAAAATAATTAATAATAAATTAATGAATTATATTAATCTACCTACTACTAGGTTATTTATACACAAAATTAGGGTATAATAAAATACTAAGATATCCTCTAACAAAGATATAAAAAAATATAAAAAGATATTCCTAGATATTTCTAAAATATAAATTATTTCCAACATCATCCCTTAATTTATATTTACACAAACTGACGACACCAATTCCATCTCCCAAACTAAGAAATTGATCAGTCTTGATAGCCTTTGATAGAACATCTGACAGCTGCTTCTGGATGCTACACTGCACAACTTCTAATATTCCATTCTGAATCTGATTCCTCAGAAAGTGATACTTGGTCTCAATATGCTTGCTTCTCCCATGCATCACTAGATTCTTGGCAAGATTGATTGCAGACTTGTTATCAATCATCAACTTAAGAGGTTTATTTACCTTAATCTTCAGATCTTGCAGCAAGTTCAGAATCCACACAGCTTGACATGCAGTTAGAGTGTCTGCAATATATTCAGCTTCACAGGTTGACAGCGCAACAACAAGTTGCTTCTTGGAGCACCAAGAAATAGGACCTCCCAGAAATTTGAATAAGTACCCACAACTCTGTCTCCACATCAATCAGAGTCTGAATAACTCTGAAGTTCTGATTCGATCTTTCTTTCAAAAGGAAATAAAACTCCATACTTCAGAGTTCCCTTCACATACCTCGGAATCCTGACAGCAGCTTGGTAATGAGATCACTTTTATTTACTCATAAATATGATAACCATTCCAACTGCATAGCAAATATCAGGTATGGTATTACACAAATACTTCAGAGAACCAACCAACTGTTTGAAGGTTGTAGCATCCAGATCCTCTCCATCAGAATCAGATTCCAACTTCTGATTTGTATCAACAGTTGTGATAGCAACTTTGCAATTCTCTAGCTCAAATCTCTTCAGAAATTCAAGTTCATACTTCATCTAATTCAAAATGATTCCTTTCTCAGAGTACATAAACTCTATCCCTAGAAATAAACTCATTTTCCCAAGATCTGTCATCTCAAACGAATTCATCAGAACTTTCTTGAACTCAGCTATCTCTTGTTCAGAACTTCCTGTGAGCAATATATCATCAACATACAAACATACCAGAATCATATTACCTTCTGAAGTATGCTGAACATAAACACCATACTCCATCTCACACTTCTGAAATCCTCGTCCCTTAAAAAATGAACAAATCTTCAGATTCCAGGCTTTGGGCGCTTGCTTCAATCCATACAAGGCTTTGTGTAATTTGAACACCACCCCTTCTTGATTCTTTTTCTCAAATCCAGGAGGCTGTGACACGTATATCTCTTCTTGTAATGGACCATTCAGAAATGCAGATTTTATATTTAAATGCATCAGAGGCCAATTCCTGTTAGCATTGATACCAATCACTAGTCTGATTGTTTCATGTCTCGCTACAGGTGCAAACACTTCAGAGTAATCCAACCCAGGCTTCTGTAGAAAGCCTCTTTCTACTAATCTTGCTTTATGTTTGCCAATTGATCCATCTGGCTTTAGCTTGTGCTTGAAAACCCATCTGACGCTGATGGCTTTCTTGCCTTTTGGATGTTCTGTCAGCTTACAAGTCTTGCTTCTTTCTATAGCTTCAAGTTCTTCTTTCACGGCCTGCAACCAGACTTGCTGCTTAAGAGCCTCTTTTGTACTCACGAGTTTAGAGTCTACTAACATTGCACACTGAATAACTTCTCCTTCAGAGTCTACTTCAGTATCTTGTAACATGTCAAACTCTACAAATCTTCTTGGAATATTTCTGACTCTTTGTTGTCTCTGAATTTGAACTTCAGAACCTCAGACACCAGAACTTTCCCCTTCTAAAGCTCTTGCTTCAGAAATTGGACTTTCTCTAGAACCTTGACTGTCTATAAAGTCTGGAAAATTCCCATAGTCTGGATCACCATCGGAGTCAGAACCACTACCTTCAGAAATACCATCTTAAAAAATTAGATCACTTTTGCCTTCAGAAGTTCCACTTTCAGAACCATGATCATCGTCAAAGGCTGAATTTCCTTAAAAAGCTCCTCCTTCAGAAGGTTCATCCTTAGAGTCATGATTTCAACCAAAAACATGATCATCTTTAGAAGCTTCTCCTCCAGAATCTACGTCTTTGAAGTTTTCCCTTCTAGAAGAATGATCACCATCAAATTCTGGATTATCATCAAAGTCTGGATCAGAATCAGATTCACCATCTGACTCACCTTCAGAGTTTCCAGAGTCATCATCTTCAGATTCTAACTCATCTTCCAAATCTTCAGCGTCATCTTCTGATTCAGACTTATATTCAAACACTCCTCCAGAGTTAGAATATTCAGAGTCATCTTCTTCCCCTTCAAAATCAAAAAATGACAAGTTCACCGGTTCCTCATCAGATTCATAAGCCATAAATAGCACAGGTTCATCATCAGATTCTCATCTGACCATATTTGCTTCTCCTGACTTCCTTTCTTTGTTTGGCCATCAATCTTTGGCATAGTGACTAAAGTTCTTGCAACAGTAACACTGAACATTCTTCTTGTTAGACTTCTCCTTTCCCTTCTGGACATTCTTCTGCCTATCAGAGTTTGAAGCTTCTGACCTTTGACCACCATTAGTTTTCTTCCTGCCTTCTGACCAAGTCTGCTTCTAATACTTCTTACCAGAAGCTACTTTCAGAGCATGCTGCTCTACTTCCCTCTCAGAAGTTCTCTCAGTCATACGCAACTCATGCGCCTCTAGACTACTTTGCAGCTCTTCAACTCTCATGGTGATCAGATCTTTGGAATGTTCAATTTCTACCACAATGTAATGAAACTGGGAAGTTAAAGATCTCAATATCTTCTCAATGATTACTTGTTCAGAAAGAGTTTCTCCACATCCTTTCATCTCATTAGTGATCAGAATCACTCTAGAGATGTACTCAGAAACCTTCTCGTTGTCCTTCATGTTGAGATTCTCATATTGCTTTCTGAGAGACTGAAGCTTCACCTTCTTCACTGATGTGTCACCACCATAACATCTGACCAGTGTGTCCCACACAACCTTTGTTGTTTCAGAGTCAGCAATCTTCTCAAACACGTTCGCATCCACACATTGATGGATGTAGAACAACGCCTTCTGATCTTTCTTCCTTAGTGCCTTCTATGTTATCTTCTGTGCCTTTATTGCGTCTGCTGCTAACGAAGCATAGCCATCGGTGACAAGATCTAACATATCTTGAGAACCAAATAGCACATGTATCTGGATCTTCCAACGATTTTAATTTTTGCCATCAAACGCTGGAAGCTTGGAATTTATATCGTCGTTTTCGTTCATATTCAACCTTGTGCAATTCACTCAAAAAACTCACTAAAACAGTGTTTCCCAAATCCCACAGAATTAGAAGAAACGATTCTCAATAACACAATACCTCACTGTTTACTCGTGTTTCCCGTGTTTCCCCGTGGATTTCGAATCGGAGCTCTGATACCAATTGTTGGTGCACAAAGGAGAGATGAAAGAAGAAAAGGAATATATTAAATGACGGTTACAAAATAAGAAATAATGAATTAATAAATTACATTGACCTACCTATTATTAGGCTATTTATACACAAAATTAGGGTATAATAAAAAACTAAAATGTCCTCTAACAAAGATATAAGAAGATATTCCTAGATATTCCTAAAATATAAATTATTTTCAACCATATATAATCCTTAATCATGAAATAAATTAATAAACTATAAAATTGTACATAGATGACTTAAAAGATTTAATCATTACAAAAATAGTATAATAGGTGTGCTAATATCAAGCTCAAAACTTCTGCAGATTTGCTAGTGAACGAAGCAAAGAAAAGAACCAAATGACTTTGTGAGCTAGAAAGAGTCAATGTAATCGGTTGCGCAAGCGTAAATTATAACTTATTGTATTTGGAAAGATTGTGATCGCATTCTCTGCGACTTCATCTGGGATTATAAAGTCAGGATCATCCAACTCATTCACATCATCAGATAAATCATTATCTATCCATTGAGACCAATCCATATCATCTTCATCATCATCATCAAAGTTCAAAGACGTCTCTTCTATGCTTTGAATGTTGTTAATCTTGTTAACTAGTGTTAGTAGTATTTGATGGTTCATCTTTTCAAAGTCTCTGCGTGATTATTAACAACCAAATCTCAGATATTCTCTATATTGAACATAAAATATGGGTATAAATAAAAAATTATTCTCATTTTTACACTTACTTGTATGTGCAAATTGCGTATAAAAGTTGAACCAAAGCAGCTACCATGAAAAGTAACCGGACTTTGTTGATTATCCATGTTTGTTTCTCCATGTTGTCACTTATTACACGAATAAGTAATACTTCAACCATGAGAGTAGCACAAAGTTCTGAAACATATTATGTTTAATCAATAATAACTTTGAGGTTAAGAAACTAAAAACATTAATTAGTATACTTACCAATGTAAAGTAAAGGTCTTATGCTGTAGGTCAGTTTTGTGCTAGTCAACATAAAGATGACAAAAATTGATATGGAATAAATGAAGAAAGCTTTAATCACTCTTGATTCAAGTAACATGGCATTTTGCAAAGCAAATAGTTTATCCAAAGAATCAAACATAGTAGCTTGTTTTGCTTCAAACGTTTCCTATAGAGTACAAATACTATTAAAAAAAATCATTAAAGATTCATGAGCATAAACACCAAAAAATTAATAGGCCAAAAAAGCTGCAAACCTGAGCAGACAAAATTGTTTTTGAATTTTCCATTAATTTATCATGTAGTCCTTGAATTTGTTCTTGCCTCTTTAGAAGCTCTTCTTGTTGCCTATGTCCATATTCTATAAAATATTGTAGGCTTTTCCTACATTTCATCAACTATGAGATTAATATTGAGCCAAACATTTTTTGAATACAAATTTATGGCATTTAAACAATCTTACCTGCTTTCTTCTAGTGCTTTGAATTGAACCTCATTCAATGAATTTAGACCCTCGAGTGCTGTGGATTGTCCGTCTAAAAGTTGTTGTTGTTTATCTAAAGAGATCCCTGCCATATTTCCAATATCTTCAGCTTTGTTTTGCAGATTATTCATCTTTGATGACATTGCATCTCCAACTTTGATGACCTCATTCTCAATCTCAATGGTTTCATCTCTTAACTTTTCTATTTCTTTACCCAAATAGCTATAAGATTCTTGAAGCAATGCTACTCCATCCTCTAAATTCCTCTTCATGTCCTCTTGGCCTTCTTTTAGTTGCGACTGTGACGCTGCAATTTTCGTAGTTTGCTCATAGACACTCTTAGAATGTCTTAATACCACATCAATATTGCCTTCCACATTCTTGACAGTTTGTGCTACTAACTGTGTGTGACTATTAACTGATTCGAGAGATTCAGAAATTTGTTTTGAGTTTTGTAATAGACAATCTGATTTCTCTTCAATGCTATCTAACTTGTCCTCCACATATTGAGCAGAATTTTTCAATTCAGTTACAAGTCTCTCAGTTTCATGTTTAAATGCATGTGTCCTGTACAAATATACAAACTTAGTTCAAGTTGAGGCAAAAACATCAAAGAATCACTCTTTAAAAAAATTGAACTATTGAATAATATTAGAAATTGAAAAAAAAAACATCACTTAACTGTAATTGATAGCAAATGGAGTTGGTTTCGAGGTAGAATTCGAGATAAACCTTATGAGCAAGATCATCTAAGTTTCTCAGACATTTAGAAATCGGTGTTTTTGAGTCACAGTGAGGAAAGGAAGGCCTGCCAGAATCTCTTTGAAAACAATCACTTAAATGCCAAGCTAATCTAGATCTTTTATCATTAGTAGCCAAAATCTCAGAACATCCGGCAAATAGATTTTTATAAGCATTTTGCCAACAAACATTGGATCCAAGCATTTTGTTCTTAGCATTCTCTACAAGTTTTATCCCCTTTGGATCATTGAAAGGTTCAATTGAAAATTCCGCGCTTGAACCTTTAAAATTTGCTTGATTTTCATAAGTCCGCTCACTAGAATGACTCTCTTTAGATGATGAAAACCAACTCCATGATTCACATGTTAGTGAGAAAGAGAGCAAAATAAGAACAAAAAGTCGAACCCTGAGATCATCCATTTGAGACTTTTACCCCCACTTTCAGAAATCAAGATTAAACCTAGGGGTGCCGAGTCTTGAGTTTATGTCGGTGTTCGTGCTTCATAGTTTAATACTCAACTTAAGAATAATACCTGCTAAAAAATGCTATGTAAACATCACAGCATCTCAGAAGTTTGACAAAGAAGAAGCAATGAACAAACGAACCTTGCCGGCGGAGAAGTTGATGCCGGTTAAGGCAGTGGTCTAATGGAAGAACAGACAGTGTAGAAGAAGAACAAAGCGGAAAAGGGACCGTTTTCGTTCTTAAGTAATGTCTCTATCCTTTTTGTGCCTTTTGAAATTTTTTACGACTATTCCAATTTATAAAAATAGAAAACTTGGGGCTCAAGAAACATGAGTTTTCGGTTAAAAAAAGAAATAGTAACATATGAAGCAACTTTTTTGATTATTTCATATTTTATGATTTTTTTCAATATAGATAATTATTTAAAATGATTTATATTCCATTATGAAAGGGATTTTACCATAGACATAGAATCATGATTTTCAAGTAATATTGAATTTAATACGATTTATCAAATCATTTTAGATTATATTATTTTTTACATTAATTTACTTTAAGTAAGAATTACATTTTTTTCTATAAAATGTATGTCTAAAAAATAATTTAGAAAAATATTAATTAAGAATAAATAGAGATTAAATATAATATACTGTTGGTGTAAAATAATTTTATATAATTGCTTAATAATATTAAGCCACATCATGTTAATATTTTAAAAATAAAAATGTGATTTAACTACACGTCCCTCATTAGTCGATAGTGAAAAAGTATTTTATAATATCAATGCATATATTTTTTTAAATAAGTATTACTATTAATAAAATAAATATTTATAATTGAGATTCACGCAAAGCAACTAGAAAACTTTAAAACTCCAAAGATTAAGGTTTAATGGTGAAAACTTGAGTCTTGATAGTGTGTTTTTCTCAAAGTTTTGAGTTCAAATACGTGCTAACAATCTTTATGCCGACGCTCTCTAGACAAAATTTTGCTCTTACTGTAAACGAAATCCCATTAGACGTTAGTGGACCGAATCTTAGATTAGTGAATTTTTTTTTTGTAATAACTAGGTATTAAATTTTTTTTTATAAATAACCATATTTCAGAAAATCGCACAAGGGAGGAGCCAACCCAGTTGGCGCATGCACCTTATTTTAAAGGGGAGGCGCCATCTCACTTGGCGCCTATGTGTGAAAGGCTTGCCCTAAGCCAAGTGAGATGGCACCTTAGTGCAATTGAGAGGCAATTTTTCATATTTTTTATTTTAAATGTGGTATGTTACGTAAACGATATAGGATCACGAAAATTGACTTTTTATTTACACAATATGATTACACAGAACGTTTACATGAAAAAAATACAGATTAATAAGTGGCCCCATGGAACTCGGTAATGACCCCAGTTTCGTATCCCCGTCCTCGCCTTTCCCGTGCTGAGTTTCGTCGCGTTTCCTGTTGTGGCATGGTCGATGGCCCAGTGAAGTTAATGCATTCCAGATCCATGAAATCGGTCAGATCTCCATATCTAGAAGATCCGCTTTGATACAGTCGGTTACCCATACCCTCAAAGTTTGGTCGTGTTGGTGGTGGATGGGGTTCCATGGTTGGTCTATAACACTGGTCGTCTGAGTACGGGGGGTAGAAAGGAAATGGATCTTGGGGTGTTTGGTATTGAGAATGTTGGGTGCTTTGGTGATTTGGTGGTTGATGGTAAGTTGGGTCGGTTGGTTCATAATCTTCGGAAAATCCCATATCAGGGCTAAGGTTAGATGTTGAGGGGTCCATATTGGGATATGTAGAAGACTGTAATTGTGTGTGGGGCATGCGAGTGTATTGGTATTGTGATTGAAATTATGGTTGAGTGTGAGGCATATGGGGGTATTGGTATTGAGGTGGTGATTGTGGTTGGTTGTGGGGCATGTGGGTATAATTGTATTGTGGTGGTGATTGTGGTTGGGTGTTTGTGGTTCTGTTTCGTCGGGGGGGGGGGGGGGGGGGGGTTGGTGGGAGGTTGATATGTGTTGGGTTTGTTGTTGGGAAAATGAGGGTTGTACCCATTGTGTTCGTGGGTCAACCAAATACCTTGGATGAGACACGTGCATTTCTGGGGTAGTAACCGATTTGTACCAAGCTAAATATTGATCTGTGTGTCACATATTACCACGGTTGAGAAAAACTGAGAATTGCAAGACATGTCGGTGACGCCTCTGCCACCTCTTACACCATTCTAGAGCAAAATCTTTCCATTTGGTAAGACCCTATTGAGCGTCGACCCTTTTGAGATGCCACGGGGACAAATAAGTTGGATCGCAAGGTATCTCTTGATGCATTCCAAACTGCATCTTGACACGGTCGCTGTGGCGCATCTCCATAATATTGAACTGTATGATTGCAGTCTTTGCGCTCCAAATTACTGCATCCTTGGAGTTTGACCCAAATATGGTCTCTAGACAAACTGCAGATAAAATTAAATCAGCTTAATGAAAATGTAATAAATAAATAATTTAAAAGTAGAAAAGTTGAAAGGTATGATGTACATCATCCGGACCAAGGTGATTCAATAGATTGCGATATAGAGCGACATTGAATCTTGGATTCTTGCCGTAATCCATACCCCTCACGCAGTACCTAAAGGAATTGAAAAATATTTTATTTTTATCATATATTTGGTGAAGAGATGAATAATAATAAATGATATAAGTTAATGACTTACTTTATTGCGTATGGGAAAACGAATGCATTGTTGTCGATGGGGTTTAGGGACTTCATTCTCCACCAACCCCAGGCTTGAAGTAAAAAAGCGCAGCCATAAAATGTACATTTTTCCTTGATTGCATTTTTACACAAGGAACTGTATAGATGGGGTAAAACAGCAGAACCCCAACTATACTTTCTAGTTTTTTTAAAGTCTCTAAGTAAATTTAAATACATAAAATTTACACTATTTCCCGTATTTCCGGGAAGGTTCCAAATAGTATCATTATATAATTTCTAGCTTTTATTACCTTAGCTAGCTTGGAGGAATTTTCGTTCAATTACAGAGTTGTATAATGATTTTTGAGCTCAGTAAGTAGTATACCCTGACCTCTCACACCACCACCTTCAACCATATCCCTGCCCAACAATTCTTCACACACAGAATTGGGCTGTTGAGTCGATCCGTTAACCGCCTTACCATCGACAGGGAGACCCAATAACATGTACACGTCCTCTAGTGTGATAGTACATTCACCTATTGGTAGATGAAATGTATGGGTCTCTGGTCTCCACCTTTCCAACATTACAAGTATGAACTTTGAATCAATCGTGCAGTTGGAGATCTTTATAATGTTTCTGAAACCTGCGTATTCGAGATAGGGTACGATCAAGGGGTCGAGAGCAAGGTAGTTGTGTGACCGGATTCTGAATCTTTTAGTATCCTAAGTTAAGAATGTAAAAAGTGTAAGAGTCCATAAGATGAATAAAGCATTAATAAAAGTATGAAAAATGTATAAGTATACAAAAAACTTACAAACGCTGCATAGTTGTCCCTTGTGCCTTTATGAGAATCGCCCATTGTGAGAAGATCCATTGTTGAAATTATCTGAGATTATGAAAGAGTTTGAAATTGTCTGAGATTATGAAAGAGTTTGTAGCAGAGACTGAGACGATTGTGGATGCAATAGAAGTATGTGAGGCTATATATTTATAGGCAACATTTTATCACAGAGTAAGTGAGGTGGTTGGTGGGTGCATGCATGCATGATAAGTGTCACTCTTGTAGTGTAGGTGCAGGCTAGGTGGAAGCCTTGGGGAAGGCATATCTGCATGCATGTAATACGATTGGACGTGTAGGGAGGCGCCATTGGACTTGGCAAATGAGTACAAAAATGAATGGTGTCACCATCCCTGTTGGCGAATTAGAGGTGGCATGGGTTGCAGTGTAGGTGCAGGCTAGTTGGCCGCCTTGGGGAAGGCATCTCTGCTTGCATGTAATACGATTAGACGTGTAGAGAGGCGCCATTGGACTTGGCGAATGAGTACAAAAATAAAAGGTGTCGCCATCCCTGTTGGCGAATTAGAGGTGGCATGGGTTGCAGTGTAGGTGCAGGGCTAGGTGGCAGCCTTGGGGAAGGCATCTCTACATGCATGTAATACGATTGTATGTGTAGGGAGGCGCCATTGGACTTGGCGAATGAGTACAATAATGAAAGATGTCGCTATCCCTATTGGAGAATTAGAGGTGACATGGGTTGCAGTGTAGGTGCAGGCTAGGTGGCAGCCTTGGGGAAGTCATCCCTGCATGCATGTAATACAATTTGACGTGTAGGGAGGCGCCATTGGACTTGGTGAATGAGTACAAAAATGAAAGGTGTCGGCATCCCTGTTGGCGAATTAGAGGTGGCATGGGTTATAGTGTAGGTGCAGGCTAGGTGACAGCCTTGGGGAAGGCATCTCTGCATGCATGTAATACGATTGGACGTGTAGGAAGGCGAATTAGAGGTTGCTTATTGTTGTTTTATTCAAAAATAGTACAACCTATTTAATCCTACATTTATCAAAACACTTCTACACTTAATCACTCAAACATTAGAACATTAAAAAATTCAAACGATTAACTCAAAGACTCAAACAATCAAACACTTAAGCCTTCAAACCTTCAAACAGTCATACACAATGGCCTCTGCACCCCAATATGTGATCAGTGCACATTTCAACGGTGAGACATACATTTGTCCCACCTCTGGGTTTTTGCTTAGAGACACTGAGAACATCTGATTTTGTTTAAACAGGAAAGCCAATTTCTTGTATTTCAAAAAACAATTGGAGGCCAAACTTGGACGAGGTCCCGTGACACAAATATTTTATCAGAATCTGTTTTTTTTGTAACAACCAAATAATATTTTATAAGGTTGAGGTTCAAGATGTCGAGGACCTTCAGAATATGTTTTCCAGTCATGAGTATTCTGGGTACG